TGCCGAGTCGGAAACTCTCTCATCCCGAAAGTAAAGATGCTTGGACGCAAAAGGTAAGTATTAACGAGCCTGGAGCCATTCAAAACCTTTCTTACGCCAGCGACGATTTATCTATTGAACGAAGGGCTGCAGAAGTTATTTCCCTGAAAAACTTGTTAACCAAGGGACTTATTCATTCAATGGAGGTAACTTTCGGGCTCGAAACCAGATGATTATTATAATAATTTCAACCAGAATTCTGAAAAATTAAAATGGATTAGAATGTAGTAGCTTGTGAGGGGACTCATCTTTTATTCAATTTATCAACATAATATATCACCTATGTGACATGCAGCGACTGAGACTAACGCTTTTAGTTAAGCGACTTGACTTTAAGATTGTGCGCCCTAATTCAACAACCATAAGAAGACTACTGCACACATTTGTTTCTGCGACCCAAAGCATTGACATTTAAAGTGAATCAGCGTTATAAATTATTTATAAATTATTTACTGCACGCCTTAGGATAAATCGGTTATAAAAAATAAAGTCACGTTCATAATAAAAAGTGATTCTTCAATATATGGTTTTTTTTCAACCAACATGTGGGTGCGAAAATCCAACATAACATCTTTATCTCTAGAGATAGTTAACTGCTAAAAGCTGAAAACAATTGTTGTTTTTCTAAAATGTTTTACCATTATTTGGTTGAAATGAGGCAGGTGCTTTTGTATCTAAATATAAAAAATGAAATTACAGGAAGGGAATAATATACAAAGCGCACGTAGCCCTACTCAGATTCAGGTAATAGATGAAGCGTACGTGAGGAAAAACGAAACCATTTTAATGCAGTACTCTCTAGGTTGATATTTTCAACCAATCATGACCAGTCGTAATGATTTTTCTATTTCCGGTTCATACAAAAACACAGGTACACGCGATAAGGAAGAATATGCAAATGTGTATCTTTTGTCAGAGTAATTGAAAGAAAACTTCTTTTGCTTAAAATGAAAGCGTGGATTTTTCGAGATCTAAAAAAAAAAAAGAAAAAAAAAAGGTTATGTTCGGAAAGTGTTTGTTTTCATTATTCACATTTAAAAAGCATGTTTAGTTTCTTTCGGTAAACGTGATATGTACGAAAATATACACAATATTGTATGCCTACAGAAGACTTTTCACCCTTTCGTTCTGGTTCATATAACATTTAGTATATCCTGATAACATCACCGCTGGATTTGCTGTCTCATTATAGAAAAACTGTCGAAACTTAGTTTAAAAAGAGAAACACAGCGTCCGATAAAAGTCAGCTGAATTTTCCCAAACAATGGTCTAAAAATATACCGGTAAGAGCCCTTAAGGGTTTTGTTTCGGCCGACAAATTTTCATTTGTAAACGTGGAACCTGGTAAGAGGACTTACCATCATTATAAAATAGGGCTTGGTAATTTCACGTTTCAAGACGTGCGCAATCGTGGAAAATAACAGGCTCGTTACAACATATTTGAGTGTGAATTACCTTTCTTACAACAAGGATCTATAGCGTGTAGCATTGTGAACACGTGTTTTCCCTAGAGGGCAGGAAGATGCGACATTAGACTTTTTTTTTTCTTTTGAAAAGCAGAAAGAAGCTAATTGCTGCAGGGAAGACTTCAGCTGTATTTTCAATCGTCTGGCTAGCCTATGTCACGAAATACTAATTTGTGGGCGCATTTGACACACAATAAATCTATTCCAGTTTCCTTTCTACAGGAAGTGAACGTTTTTATTATAGGCAAACGACAATTGAAAACATCAAAAATAAAATCGGCGCCCAGTGAAAAGTTTGCATGAATCTATCATTTCGTTAATTTATCGAAAGCCTTCCTTTTAAACACGCGGTACCATACGAAGAAAAATGTGCGCACTAACCTTGCTGGATAATATTAGTCTCTTCTGTAAGCATAACACAGCCAATCGATCAAAAGAAGTACCTTTTAATGCGTTGAATCAAATGCTTAAACGCTAGAGACAATTTTCGCAACTAGCTGAAAATAAAGGCGAAATTCTTATACCCGACGCGACAGAACTCAATAACGTCAAAGGTATGCGATCAACAACGCGAACTTAAGCGTGCGAGGTTTAAAATTTTAGTGAAATTTTCTAAAATTATAAAGAGCTGGCTTTTAAAACCGAGGCATTTCGTTGTCATCGAAGGCATTCATGTTTCCAAAGTTTTTAAGGAGAAAAATAATTTTCGAAAATATTTAGGGGGTGTACAAATTTTTTGGAAGTTGTTCTGCCAAAGAAAATAACGCCTCGAAGCAACAGAATAGAAAATCAACCAGGCGAACGACTCAAATACATGTTTCCGCGCCAAAACCTAGCGCGGGTGCATACGTTATTCAACTCTGTCACGTGGGGCACCTTTGACGCACAATATTTTCATTTACTTTTTAGTGGGTAAAATGAAACTTCTTCATGCGGTAAACAGCATTCACAAATTTAAAAATGAAAACAACAGCACTCAGTAAAGAGTATGCATTTATTTGAAGATGTCAGCGGTACTTCCAATCGTCTGGCTAGGCTTATATCACAACATTCTTTATTGTGGACCCCTTTGGTACACAAAATGTTTTCTTTTTACATTTTAAATGAACGAAATGTATTATTTGTTTCTTTTTTCCGAATCCAAATGGATGCACTAACCTCACTAGATAATATCGCTTTCTAACACGCAGCCGACGGCAATGTGGTCCCGATTAATGCGGTTTTTGTAGCCTTTTTGACCACAAGATGAAAACATCCTTGTGAACTTTTATTAAGTCATGGGTTCTGTATTAGAACCTAAAACGCTGTAGTCAATATCACAAATAAAAGAAAGTAAGCACTTTTCGTTGAATGGCATTAGGAAACGGTGGTATTATGTTACAAAAAGAAAATTTTGAAAAAGTGGCAGTCAGTCATGTAAGTGTCATTCGTTGTAAATGAAAAAAAAAATCAGTATAGTCGTAGAATTAAATGTCATAGTTTCTTTTTGGAAATGAAATCTGATATGGATTTCAAACCAGAAATTGCTGTCTTCCATTGATGCTACTTATAATAACTTTAATAAAATGATTTCTTTACATTTAGTCATAGTCCAGAAAACAAAAGTCATCCCGTCGGTTTTGTCTTTCTTTTAAAAGCATAGGAAGTTACATTTTAAACAACAAAAAATTCAGATTAATGTTACTTCTTCTTTGGCCATGATCACTTCTACTTTCGGCTGTTTCCATTTCATGAAGTAAATGACTTGCATTGGAAATTATATTTTCTACCTCATTATACCAAGCTGACGAATTCAAGTTTCTATTTGTATTCAAATCTTATATAGTACATCATTCTTGAAATGAGCACGAAAATGTGCTAAATATTAAATGTGTTAAACATTAATCCCAAATAGTCGAGGCGCAGTAATCATTTTATGTCCTTGCCCTCGTCTAGTGATCCATTTTCTCCTTCGCCTCATCTAATCTTTGGATGAAGTACTCGTATTCAAGCTTGCAATCATTATACTAGAACTTTTCCATTGTAATGTTATAATCAGCTCAACTATGGGCCGATGAAGGATTTCGCACTGTGCTAGTTGCCGTATGTGAACGTATCATGGTGATGAATGGTCTGTAAGTCAAAGTGTTATTCTGTAACATTATTCGAAAATGCATCCATTAATTATTTTTTTTCCAATTTTCAAAATAGTTTTGTTGATTTCAGTGATGATCCGGGATTAAAAAAAAAAAGCAAAACATTTTTGCGAATCCGATAATAAATTTTGATCTAGGATAATTGAATCTATGATATTTGACTTGTGCATAAGATACAATCCAAGTAACCTTTGGTATTTGATCGGTATTATGGGATCGTACCCAATGGGCTTCTGTATGTTTATATTGTTGCTGAAATTGAATTTCGATTCCCAAGAAACATCATTTCGAGTAATTAACAAATTTCAGCTTAAACATGGAAACGTCCTTAATTCGTTCAGTGTAGATGAAATTTATTTCAAATCATTTTAAATGGTGCCATTGAACAACATTTTCACCAGTCTTACTGTAATGTACATCAATATCACTGCAAAGGTTAATTTTAAAATAGATTGTAGTAGTTAGGAATATGCAGATTACGCTAAAAAAAAAGTCGAAGAACAGCCTAAAAATGGATTCAAAATTTCCTCAAAAGTTGTCCATAGATAAGAACAACTTTCTGCAATAAATGAAGGCGTTGCTTAAAGCATTCAAACATAAGTTACTTTGCATTGTTATCTCGAAAGAGCTTCGTGTGTAGATCAGCCATTAAATCAAACGAAATGGTGCCATTGAACAACATTTTTACCACTGTTATTGCAGTGTACATCAATATCAGTGCAAAGGTTAACTTCAAAATAGGCTGTGATAGTTAGGGATATGCAGATTGCACTCAAAGATGTCGAAGAACAGGCTAAAGCGGAGTCAAAATTTCCTCAAAAGTTGCCCGTAGATAAGAAAAAATTTCTGCAATAAAAAAAGGCGTTGCTTAAAACATTCAAGTATAAGCTACTTCGCATTATTATCTCGAAACTAAGCTCCAAACAGTATGCCGTTGTCATCGTTGTAAAAGTACATTAATCATTTTCGTTATCTGCAGGCAAAATGGAATAATTTTGTTCCACTTTCTCCAAGAGCACGAGTTTTTAAGCTAATAGTCTTTGAAGAAAACATCTTATCTCTTGAAAGATACAAGTGTCCGTCACATTATACCCACAATAGAAACGTGTTGAAGAGGGAAAGTCTTTTTGACGGTTGACGGTTAAGTTTTGGAATGTCGTTTGTAACAACCTAAAAGCGCGAATTTGGCTGTAACTTTTCATAATGACGCGTTTTTAAAGAGCTGTTAATTTATAACACCTTTTTTTGGTAACTGACTGACGTTTTACGACACTGGAAGTGTTTCCACAGCGGAAGTCAGTTCTGTCGCTGAGCAGTTTTACTCGCGACTAGAAGTTAAAGGACTTACATGAATTTATTTTGGTGATATATCAAAACTTTTAATTATAAACAACAGAACTTGGCTTAATTATTTGACGGTTGAAGGTAAAAATAATGCGTTTTTGACGGTTAATAATTTGGCCAATTCTGGTTGACGGTTACCCCCTTTGAGACCAAATGTAAACGAATAGGAAATTAATTTTCACTAGCGGAAGAATTAGATTAATGTTATTTCTTGTTTGACCATAATCACCACTATTTTCGACTCTCTCCGTGTCATGAAGTAAATGACTTGCATTAAAAATTATATTTTCTGCCTCATTATATCAAGCTAACGAACTATATTCAATTTGTATTCAGTTCTTTTATAAGAAATAATTTTTTCTACTTGTATTAAAATCTTATATAGTACATCATTCTTAATATGAGCACGGAAATGTAACATCTTAAATATCAAGCCGAAACAGCCGAAGCGCGGCACTCAGTTGATATCCTTGCCCTCAACTACTACTGCATCGGATCATCCTCCTGAAAGCTCCATTCATTTTATCATTTAGAGCGATGTACAGCCAGGGGTTTATGGCGCTGTTAGCTTGACCGAGCCAAGAAATAAAGTAAATGGCCACGGGCTGCCAAGTTACTTTACCCGTCACTGCAAAGTCCATTCGGAGCACTTGCAAGGGAAACCAACATACCGCAAAAACCACCACAACAATGATGAGCGTTCGAACAACTTTTTTCTTGGGAATCTGCTCACCTGGCTGGGCTCTGGAAGTTTCAACTTCCCCAGGAATCTCGTGGAACCATATCTTTCGCGCAATTGTGATATACAGGACACAGATAATGGTAAGAGGCATTATGTAGTTAATGACTAATAGGTAAGTCCAAAAGGCGACCCTTGGGATATATTCATTTGTATAGGAGCATTTTCCATTGCTATCATCTGCCATGTAAGAAAATGGTGTGACGTCCATGAAGGTCCAGGATGCGATCCAAATTACTGGTAGAATATTTTTTGCTCTTCGGAACCAAGTCATTTGCTTCAAAGGGTGTATGACAGCAAAATATCGATCAAATGCCATCGCGATAAGACTGAAGATCGAGGCTGCTGTAGAGACATCTTCAAGGTAGAATAGCAAACGGCAGAATATATTCCCGAACGTACCAGTATATCCAGAGTCGTAAAAGTGCGTTATGGAGACGGGCATATGAAATACAGTCATTAGTAAATCAGCTACCGCCATATTGACGAACAAGAAACTCGTTAAAGTTCTAGTCTCACGTTTCTTCCAGACGATGTAAATAAGCAACATGTTTCCTTTCAAAGCAGCGACCATAGTAACAGCATACGCCATAGTGAAACCCAATTCCATATTTGATTCCAAGTTCTGTGTATAAAACATAACAAGTTTAAACTGGGTTCAAATCTGGCGATGGTTTTTTTTCTCTTTCCTTTCGTGCATCTATTTGGGTTTGTGTATCTGTTCTCAGGATACACGAAGGAAAGTTTTAGTCTTCCTGGCTTATATCATTAACTATGGAAGACGCATTTTGTATCTTAACTGCGCAGACCTATTTTACCAATGACTCTTAGAATGCACTCCAGGAAAATTTTATAAAATCAACATTACTCGAAAATGCATTCATTATTTTTGTGCTATTTTCAAAATGGTTTTGTTGATTTCAGTGATGATCCGGGATTGAAAAAAAAAAACTTTTTTGCGAATCCGATGGTAAATTTCGATCTAGGATGATTGAATCTATGATATTTGGTTTGGGAATAAGATACAATCCAATCAACCTTTGGTATTTGATCAGTATTATGGGATTGTACTCAATGGGCTTCTGTATGTTTATATAGTTGCTGAAATTGAATTTCGATTCCCAAGAAACATCATTTCGAGTAATTAACAAATTTCAGCTTAAACATGGAAACGTCCTTAATTCATTCAGTATAGATCAAATTAATTTCAAATCATTTGAAACGGTGCCATTGAACAACATTTTGACCAGTGTTACTGCAATGTACATCAATATCACTGCAAAGGTTAACTTCAAAATAGGTTGTAGTAGTTAGGCATATGCAGATTACGCTAAAAAAAAGTCGAAGAACAGGCTAAAATTGGATTCGTAATGTACATCAATATCACTGCAAAGGTTAACTTCAAAATAGGTTGTAGTAGTTAGGCATATGCAGATTACGCTAAAAAAAAGTCGAAGAACAGGCTAAAATTGGATTCAAATTTTCCTCAAAAGTTGTCCATAGATACGAAAAATATACTGCAATAAATAAAGGCGTTGCTCAAAACATTCAAACATAAGCTACTTTGGTTTGTTATCTCGAAAGAGGTTCGTGTGTAGATCAGCCATTAAATCAAATAGCATTTCCCTTTTAGAGCTTAAAGTTTAAAGATATTAACCAGACTTTAAAAGTCGTGATCTGATACGCTCAAAGGCTGCAAAAAATCAGCCATCTAGCATGATTTACTTGTATTCCAAGTGCTAAGGATATTCACATTAGGAGCAAAAATGGCCTGGGTGAATGGACCTAGGATGAAACACACAGTAAAGTAATAAACCAAGTTCAGCTAAAGCGCTGTTGTCAACCCTCACTTTTTCTCGAATTTCTTGAGTCTCAGGCAATATCTTTGCCACATCAAAGAAAAGAAACCCAACTTTTAAACTTTAATTGCCCTGTATTAGCCTGTTTATTTCTTCTTGTAAGGGAAAGGTGCATTTACTATGTTCCCTTACTGCTAGCGAAAAAAGAAAGCTCCGTTTTTCCCTCCATCAATTTCTTGAGAGTTAAGAGCTGAGAGTTTGGAACTGAGCAAGGAGTCATTGACTTTTTTTTTTAATTTTAGTGCGGATCAATGTGTGTTTTTTATTATAACTTGCTAATTTCCCAGTCTCTAAAGCAAGCTAATAATTTGGATATATCAACAAAGTTGAAATGGTAAATTGGCCACCGTAACGATTACAAAAGCTGACGTTTCGAGCGTTCGCTCTTCGTCGCTCCGACGAAGGGCTAACGCTCGAAACGTCAGCTTTTGTAATCGTTACGGT